AACGGCACCAGCACTGAACTGCTGGAAACGGGTGGAAGGAAGAAGATGATTGCAGCAAGAGGCATCACAGTAGGTAAGTATTAAAAGCAGAATTACAACGGGGGGGGGCAGAACGCGACTTTAATATCACTTTAAGCTGGCCATACTCTGCTCATATTTCAGCCAAGTCCTGCTGACTTGCCAAATTTCAAGCAGTGTATGGTCCCCTCGGTAACCACCAACATTCAACAAAGGTCGATTTTTCAGTCAGTCAAAAGGGAATTAAGTGTTTTTAATTTTTTTTCTTGTTCAATCTGCCAAGCTGAACTAGTGCATGGCCAGCTTACGTCTCAGAAATAGATTGTCATCAATATAAATCCTTTGGCGCTTAAGACAGCACCCATATATGTATTTCAACTATCTGTTTGTCTGGAGTTCAGCTCAATTTTCCTGTGAAGCAATAGCCAATATCTTATTTAGAAGAGACTAGTAACTGAAATCTAATATATCATAATATAGCTAAATCCTTGCTGTAATTTTACAGAGGTCAGTACAGCTGGAAAACATTGGCTTACTAATAAAACACAAGTTCATCTCAAGGTTTACAGATGCCTCAGGATTTGTACAAGTCTTAAACACTACTACATTTATTATTTTTCTTGCTTATTGCCTTACCCAGACCATAGGCTGTTTTTCTAGCCAAGGCAATAAAGAACTGAATGCCACATGCCATTTGGAAGAGTGGCAAGGGTTCAAAGAAAACCTGTCTCTTTGCCCATATAGGTTCTCTAAATTCTAATAATCCCCCCCCCATACTAAACGTTACCCCTGCCTGCTCTGTTGTTTTCTCTTAAAGCCTTTAACAATTACCCAGTGCTCCTCGGTAGGATGCAATGCACAGGCCTGTGCTGCCAATCGCCAGGTCCAAACACTGTCATGGGGGAGAGGAGGGACACATTAATCCTGCCAAATTCTCTATAGGAATTGAGTTTTTGAAACTATATCTTTCCGCATGCTATGGAATATATTTGGTTTGAGAGACCTAAATGGAAGCAGCAATAAAGAAATCTGCAGAAGTGGCTTATTCACAACGGAGATTAATATAGTGGAAACCTACCTGACTGGTTTACCCAACCACAAAGCATTACAGTCTTCTGTAGGCTCAGATAACAGCTGCTGCTGTAAAATATACTCACCTCTCCGGTGGCCTGCGTCTCCTGCTGCTTTCCATTCCAGTACTGCAGCCTCTGTCAGTCTTTTAAGCATCGACATTTCATGGAGTGTCAGATGCCTCCACAGTGCCATGGTTAGTTTCGCTAACGCCTACATCACTGCTTTATGACTGGAACCACAACATGCAGTGAGGGGACTGTTGGAGGTTGCACTTCTAAAAATGGAAGAAAGCAGGGGCGTAACTAGAAATCACAGGGCCCCATAGCAAAATTTTGTATGGGGCCCCATGATTGCTAGTCATGCTACTTGCAGAGCCCCAGCAGAGAGTGACCCTGCAGAACCCACCATAGACTCTCTATAGTGGGCTCTGCAGGGTCCAAGATCTCGTACCTGTCTGCGCCTCGGTGGTCACTGCGCCCCCGCCTCCTGTTCCGTCCCCCGCCTCCTCTGCTATCGACGGGCATCGCCTTCTCTTACATCACTGGTCCCACCTGCTCTTAGGTCGCTGGCCAGTGATGTAAGAGGAGGCGGGACCCGCCTCCTCCATTTCCGAACACCGCCCTCATCTGCCGCAGCGACTGGCTGTCACTGACGCAGCGGCTATGAGGGGAAATGCGCCGTGGCCGCTGCTGAGCTGTGTCTGTGACAGCCAGCACCGCCACATGCCATAGCGACCCAGGCGGCCCTGGTCGGGCCCCCCTGTGCCTGGGCCCCATAGCGGTCGCCTGGGTCGCTATGGCGATTGTTACGCCACTGGAAGAAAGGTAGAAGACAAGGGCCAACATAACAACACACACACCAAAAAGCACTTTTTTTAAATGACGTGCATTTATCCGACAAATGTGAGACAACAACATCTATGAAAGCCCAAAGCACATAATAGCACATACAATCAGGTTTGTTTTATGGAGGCTCTCTATTGCATGTGCTGCAAACTTTTTTGAACAAATTCTGTAATCTTTCACATAGGTTTCTTCTAAGTAAATGAATAACAATTTGCAAACCAACACACTAAAATTAGATATAGAAAAAATGAATTCAATGTTTAAAAAGTACATATCAAGTGCTCCATAACAAAATCAGTGATAAGAGATCCACGTTGCGGCTCCAGATTTCATATAAGGATAAATGCAAGTGACCTGCACATTGTCACGAGGATCCAAGTAGGGCAGCCAGAAACATTTCAATGTAATAAACAAGTTGAATTAGCACACAATCAACAGGAAGAGCTGCTTGAAACACAATAATCTGGCCAGGAGCTCATGCAGGGGCAAGACGGCAACGGAAGGAAAGGGGGGACTCCTGCACATCGTTCACTACATACCCACTGCAAGCCACAGATTTCCAATTTAACACTTAGACTGCTGAAGGCAACAGCTGCCTTCAAAACTGAACTTATGTAACATTAGGTCACAGACTCACGGAAGATGCAAATTCTAACTAGTGTCCCTGAGTATGACAGAAATATTCAGCTTTATTATTGATTTGTATGATTACTATGCAGTTCTGGCTGCTATAAGCTACTGCATTTTAAAAATACTACACCCATCTGAATATGTAAAATCTAAATGACCCAATTAGTGTAGCACTTGTTGAACTTGATAACCGAGTAGGAGTCGATAAATCCTATACGGGGCAAATAAAAATGGATCCAAGCGGAAGAGAATCCAAGCATGAATTAGTACTGAGGAAAAAGGAAATCATATGGTCTAGGCAGTCATAACAAGCACCTTCCTTTCTGAATGTAGGAAATGGTCAGTGTCAGCAATCCGTGTGAAAGTAAGAAAAAAAACAAAAAACCCAAGTTACATATTTAGCTCTAAATGACACACACAAGACTCAATTCAGTCCAACAACATTTAAGGGGGCAGCCAAATGAACTGAAGTGAAGGGAGCTGAAGCCTCTTCAGCTATTCACTGCAGCCCTGTATGGCTATTTTAAATCGGCTTCACCCTCCTCTAACCAAGAGCCTCTTCACCACAATCCTGACCCGGTGGTTGTGGGGTTCTGCGGACAGGGGTGCTCATCTACATCTGGGTACCTTCTTCAGTCCATCATCAATCACGTTATCCAGCGCTGCAATCCAACATCAATCATGATGAACGACAGCCACCGTCTCGACAAAATATTTTTAAAAAATCCCACGACCCGACCGCTGCTGCCAAACTCCCATGATAAAATGACAGGTACAGCCCGAATGTAAACAAATGGGCGGAGCAAGTCGTTGACTCGCACTGCCCATTTGTTTTAATGCCATGACAGCTAACTGTACTAAAAATGCCATGTAAACAAATGAGCAAAGCAAGTCCGGTGACGCAACCCCATGATTGATGTTGGATTACATTGCATCGCTGGACGACGTTATGGACGATGGATTGCATTGTTGAACAACTTTTTTAATGTTTTTTTTTTATATATAATAAAGGACTGGTCAAAAACTGTCTTTTGTTCAATTAAAGGACCTTTTCAAAGTGTGGTGTTTTTATTTACTTAACTCTACATAACAACTACCCTTTACTCATTCCCAAGGGGGAGTGGCATCTGGGTGCCCCCTTTATGAAAGGGGATACCCAGAAGCAAATAAGCCTGCAAACCCGCCCTCTCCAACCACCGGGCAAGGTTTTTGGGGAAGCGGCCCTTGTCCTCATCGGCATGCAAACAAGGTGCTTTTCCAGGTGGTCCCCCCCTCAAAAAGCACCCACTCAATGGTATGCAATGCCAGTGCTCGGATTAAGGGTCTGGTATGTGATTTTAGGGGGGACCCCCAAGGGGCATTGGGGTCCCCTTTAAAAATCCTACCAGACCTAAAGGGTCTGGAGTGAATTTGTAGGGGAACCACACACTTTTTTCTTTTACATCGGGGGTACCCCCTAACATTCCTACCAGACCTATAGAGTCTGGTATGAATTGGGAACGGAACTGCACGCCGTTTTTGTTTTTTTATCATAGTTTTTAACAAACTGAAGCAGCTTGTATAAAGTGCAGGCACCTAGAATACCTTTCCTGTAGTTGCAGTAGGATACCATCCCTTCCTGTTAATGCTGAATCCTGAACAAAGCTTTAGCATCTCCCAATAGTGCTGAAGCTTGCCTGACATTTCTGGACTCCGGCATATTGCTATTGTTGAGCAAGGATGTGCCTCATAGTGATGGGCCAAAGGGAACATGTGGAGGTGTGGCTAAGCATCAATCTCAGCCACTACCCGCAAGTGTTGGGGCTTAGCTTTTTAGAAGCAGCTGGGATTTGGCTGTGATAGTAGGGTTTAGGAGCCTGCTGAAAATATGTGCAGGCATTTCTAGGAGCATTTTTTTAAAATATATAATGGCATGGTCAGTTAAAAGTGCTATCATCAAGAAAAAAAACACTTCTAGCCCTTAGGGTTTGTTTCCAGCACACTGCATGGTTTACATGTGCAATTTCATATTAACACACTGTAGCAACATACATTTTAAAAGATTTTATTTGAGCAAAATGCCTGTCAATGCACACAAAATGCAACGTGCATGACTTTATTTTGCACTGTATTAAAAAAGAAGTTGGAGAAGACACCGAAAGCCATGGATTTTCTGATGTCTATACCTTTTGTTTACAAAGGAAAAAGCAGGACAATGCATGAAAACACATCTGGTGGACATGATGCCCTCTTTGTTCCCAAGGCCTCCCTCCAGGTCCTACCAGCTGCTTCTCATACACATCCACTTCTTTCACAAGGCTTAGTGTGGGTTCTGATGAGGCAGAAGAAGCCAGTCGAAACCAAAGAAAATTCCCTTTAAAAAAAACTAATTTGGCCCACTGATAAAATATTAAAGTACTATGTTCACCATTGAAATATCTCTATAAAACTTACCAGTCTTGGCTGTTAATGGCATCGCCATACCCTGGAGTATCTACTACAGTTAAGCGCAGCTTCACTCCCCGTTCCTCTATCTCCACAGTGGAGGCTTCAATCTGAACTGTTCGCTCAATTTTCTCTGATAAGAAAAACAAAAAAGAATGATGCACATTTACCCAAATATAAGAACACTGTCTTAATTACTGCATAAAAATTGCAATTCCAGGCAACAAGTAAAAATAAACCATAAAATATTGCAATCCTGCAACTGTGCTAAAATAAATTTCCCTTTATCTGTGATTGACTATAGTCACAATCCAGAGAACTCCTCATAGGGTCAATGGAGTGTACTTACAGACTACTATGCTAGGTGATTTCCTCTCTCTTTGCTTTTTGTATCAGCAATTTAATTCTAATGTAGTATTGAACCTGATTGGTGGCTGTGAGAAACTTCTTACTATGTAATTTTTATTACAATGGAATTTTGTTTTTTTGTTCGATGAAAGGATTTCTATATATGAGAGACACCAACAATCCTAAAGTACTGCGACATCGGCAGGGTCCCAGGATCTCCACCAAAAGGGAGCAAGGTGTGTACAAGAAACTAAAACCCCAAGCAGGACGGCTATGCACCCTAGATGTAGCTAAAGATTTACATTTCAATATTAACTGGAGTACTCTCAGTAAAAGAAATGTATTTATTTTAAACATGTGAGCTCACCTTATGTAAAAAGCCTCGGGCAACTTCAATGATACACTGGCTTAATATTAAAAATTCCAAAGATTCCCGAAATATAATATCCCTTTAACCCCATAAGCAATGACATTCCATGCTTAGCCTTATGTGGAAGGAATATTAGAAATTAAGTATGGGCCAGTAGCACATTGATTTACAAGGTTGTGGGAGATGAAACTTGCCATGGGGTCAGCTACTATAGAGAACGGACTGATATAAGACACAAGTAATCTTACAATGGCTTCTGGAATCAAAGGAACATAAAATGAGCACTAACTCAATCAAGAGGACTTTGTCCGACATGCACTGTCCTAAAGGATACGCACATCAGGTGGAAAACTAACAGTGTGACGATATGAACATTCCTGTTGGAAATATCAAACGTCCTTGTGTATGGCCAGCATCACAGTTTAGAAAATGTATATTTTTATGATTTTTTATGTTAATAATGGAGATACTGAACGCTTTTGTTAAAAAAAATTCTAATAAGAATGAATGTTTGTCAAGAGTATATTTAATTTCATAGAAAATGAAGGAGGTTTCTGAAAATATGGCACTGTATGCAGAAAGTTGGAAAATTACTGATGTGTACATTTCAATTGAAACTTCTGTGGAAAATGACAATCTGCCAATTCCTGGAATTCCATCAAATGTGCAGCCATTTGACAGTAAGTGTGTAGATAAGATCTTAACTCTTTGCCTGGAAACCACATTATTGTATGCCAGGTTAGCAGGAAATGACAGTTGAACTTAGAAAAACACCAAAGCTATTTATAAAAAAGAAAATTAACAGTTTGTATATAGGTAGACATATAGGTGCATATGTCTCACGGAGTGTGGCAGGCGGTAAAACACTGCCATCCTCAAAACTGCCGCATTGCCAAAGAACCGAAGATGAGCACAGGCAGTCAAGCATTTCCTTCATTCTTATCAATGTAAAAAGAAAGGATTAGATCGATCTCTCTTATAATTACTATACAAAATAACAAGGGTTCCTGACAGATGAAATGCTCACTATTGTCCCAAGGGGCCGGGTCATCAAAGTGGAGGAAAGATCACCATAATAAGGCGTGCCGACAGTTATAAGTTCAACTCTTCATCATTTTCATTTCATTTTCCCCACAAAACATTATATTTTTTAAGTACATCCAAATAACAAATCACACAATCTACAAGGACCACAAATGAGTCATGCCATAGATGTGCATAACCAAGAGAAGGATTGAGAGAGAAATGTGGTATGGGGAAGCTGGCTCCTGCAGATTTCAGGCTGAAGATCAGGGTTACATACATGTTTTGTCTGCTGGCCTCACATTTAGAGGTTCTGAATGAACCCCAGGGATATATGGCTTGGAGTGCATAGAGGTTATGTATTCATTAGCTCTAGAATGTTTCATAAATATTCACATTTTGCCCATTTATTTTTAGTTAAAACAATAATTTTTTACCCAACCTTTTACTATTTTCATTTATTCCAAGAACACTGGCATAGTTATGCAAGCAATTTGTGAAAGATTTTATCTATGAACTCATTCACATGGAATGACACATTATTGCTCAGTAAGATCTATATATGATCCAAACATATGGGAAGCATTTAGATGGACGTCAAAAACATGCCAGTTAGAAATGCAGCTATTTTTACAAAGATATTCCTAAACATTTCAAAAAGTTCACAACACTATATTCACAGACGGAGTACAACAATGGCATTGATGTGGAAACTACATCATCACAATTACCTAGAAAAGATAAGTATACACATGTAGATGACAATCAGTACCTGCTGCTCCTGGTATATATCTTTCAGGATACAGGTCAGTGAGGAATAAGCTGTTGATGAGTGTTGATTTTCCCAATCCAGATTCACCTAAAAGGAAGAAGTTATTTTATTTGACAAACAGCCTTATTCAGTAAAGCAATCTAGTTCTTGAAGCTGAACTCCAGGCAAACCACTGAATACACAGATAGAATTCAAACAAGGGAGCTGTTTATTTCTGCCAAAGGATTTATATTTCTGCCCATTCAGTCCTGAGATTTACACAGCTTGGCCACAAAGCACATCCCTGTGTGGGTTAAAAAAAAATGCAGTTCGCTAACACATAAAGTTCTTGTCCCCATCTCCCAGCCTATGACAGTGACGAAGAAGAAGCATCTCTCTGTCAATCTGCTATTTTCTCCTATCAAACTGTTTCTTGTAGGGATGCACCGATACTAGTATTTGGGCATCGGCTTCCTGATTGGCCAGAATGCCAGCTCCATGCTTTCTCTTCATCTAGTGACGAGAAGCATGGAGGCAGCTTCCCTACTAATCAGGAAAGCCGGGTGGCGAGTCTCTACGCGTCGCCTGGCTTCCTTAATGGGACATCCAGTACAGGTAAGTACCGGGGGGAAAAAACATCGGTAACACAACTTACTGGCTCCTTGTGTATCTCCCCAGTCTGAGCTCCGCTGTACAGTATACTGCAAGAAGCTGATACCAAGTCAAATTCATGTACTTACACTTCTTGTTTTTTAAAACAAATATGATAATGCAAAGCAGAAAGAGAAATTGAGTTTAAATTAAAAGTCCATGGGGGTCTACTGTGTAGGCATGGGCAAAACAGGGGACTTGTAGCGCAGGATGTAAACAATCGCAGAATGCATTGAATCAAGGTAAGTATACATCTGCAGAGAGGTAGGGTGGGATCTGTTTGGTCAAGGAAAAAGGGGCAAAAAAGATAAGTGCATTTATCCTTTAACTTTATTCCCACCACAAAGGGTCTAAGCATAACAACATTGGACAGGTAACAAGCAGTCTTGATGAAGACATCATAGGTCTATTGGGCCCCTAATGTCTCTCTTGCCCTCTGCTCCAGCCGACCGGCAGCACAGCTCCCTCAGCCAATTCTGTACCTTGACAGCTATGAACACAGAAGTGTTCAGACCTTAGCACTTCCACGTTCAAGCCTGGCAGGGTATATTGGGAAACAGATGTTCCACAATGTCTTAATGCTTGCCATCCCAGAGGGCTCAGGGAGTCCTTAGTTCTATGTAAGCTTCAAACAGTTTGACATGGAGCTTAAGTGGAGTATACATAGTTAGAACTTGGGTTTGAAAAACGTTCGTTCAGTGTTCCAGTAGTTAATGGGGTCAAACCAATAATCGATCTTTTCTCAAAATTCCAAAACCAAAAGAAATTTCAAACGACATTTGTCAAGCATTATCAGATATTTTAACAAGATTTTTCATATGAAAGTTCATGTGAAAATCTTCCAGTGTATGGTCAGTTTTAAACATGAAGTCTTCTACTTGATGCCATGGGCTAATTGAGTCATGGGGGATTGAATGTAAGGCAGGTGTAAAGCAGTGTGCAGGGTTGCCATTTAAGCTAACCTGTTGGTTTTGCTGTGTGTGGGCAAAAGTATAGATTGACCAAGTTTAATTTTCTATTATGTCTTTACTGAGTATTTACAGTCTTAGCCCAGGTACTGCTTCAAAATAGCTAATACAAAAAACTCACATTACCTGAACAAGATCCATATACAAGGAATTCTGGTGTGGAATTCTCACTTACACCCTCCCAGAGTCGAGTTAGGCTGCACTAACAACATGGTTCCATCATCTCTCAAAACTACAGACACTGTACCCACTTGAATTAGAATTACTTATTAATAATATAACTTATTAAATGAATGGAAGTGCAGGAGTCAGCATCATAGTTGTCATTACTGCCGAAAACCAATACATTCTGCTGTCTTTCCTACTCACCACACACTGCTGTTACTGGTGAGGTAAACATGCTAAAGGACCAATAATCTTAACATTCTAACCTTTAGCAGCAGGCTTACATGCCCCAAATGATAGAAATACTATACTTAAGTGTGAAATGAGCAATAATGTTACCTAACAGTTTATACAAAGAACACATTGCTGCAGACCCTGAACACTGCAATGTTTTATAGGTGAATAGAACAAAAAAAGATCAGCCAAGCTGCTGACAGACGCATTAGAATGCTGAAAAATGAAAACATTGGAAAAGGACATCATTGCTAGGCTGAATATCACATGAATGTTAGTGAATCTGTCAGGAATAAAATGATTCTAGAAGTATTCCAGTGTATGCAGCCTTGACTCAGGTCAGCAATATTTGAACAGTTTGGTCATTTTGCTCCACTTACCGACCACCATGAGGGTGAATTCAAACCCTTTCTTTACAGATTTTCGATGAACTTGGTTGGGAAGGTTGGCAAATCCAACATAGCCAGCAGAGTCAGAAAACTAGGAAAGAGACAACAGATGTCCAAATATTCTTATATCGTTACATGGATCAGCACTATAACTTAACAGCTTTGCAAACTGTGAAATGTTGTTGTATCTACAAAAGGTAAATGTTATCTCTTACACACCAACAATAAGTCAGTATGCCTGCCTGTGAGTGATTTTATTTGTTTCACTTTAGAATGGCTTATACTGAGATATGGAGATAACCATAAGAAATGGGCCCCTGATGTGTATTCTATATTATAGCGAATGTAGTGTTTTGAATACATTCTGTAAAGTAATATATACAAGAATAGAAAAATACCATCTAAAACTGTATTTCACTTTAGACACAGTGCCCCATTTCCAACCAGCAGGTGGAGCTTTACATTCCCAATTAATTTTTTTTTTTTTTTACTAACCTTACCCATAGAAAGTTGAATAAGTCTCTCTCCACACATACCCCAACACTCTCTGTATATCTCCACGCAGACATTCAATTAGAGAGAGACACTGTAAAAGCAGACAGCTTCTCCTGTGTTCTCTTTTTAGGAAATCCAAAATGCTCTTAGACACCAGGGTCATCAATGCACCTTGTATTAAATATTTATGCAATTTAGAAACAAAAAATGTAAAAATCAGTTTAAAAACCTATAAAACAAATTTAAATAAATCTGCCCCCAACTCATTATAGTTGCCCCTAAAAATACATACAGCGGATTGACAAAAACACCTAAATATGAATAGTGCATTGTCTCATAATATGCTTTCTACTAGCACAAAGAGGTGATAATATTATTATGGTACATACCTTCACCTTTTCTCCGGTTTGAGACATGCTGCGTCACTTTCTTTTTTTAAACCTAGAAGAAAATAAATATATAACAGTCAAAACTTGGAAAGTATCACAGAGTAAATACTAATTTTTAATTATTGGTAACTGGTAACGCCAACAGGAAAACAAACAATAAAAAGACCCACATAGCTGTTTTAATATAAATGACATGCTGACTTGCAATCACAAATTACAACGCATACATTAAATAAAGACTTGTATTAGTGAAGTGATATCTTTTCCATGCTGATTGTCTACAATAAAAATGGAAACTACATCATTTAATCCTCAGTGTACATAACGAGTCCCCACTCATTTCTCTCTTTGTACCGCATTCTGTGCTTTGCTGAGGGTTGTGACTGCCCAGTAGGGATTTCCAGATACTAGTTCAGATACCAGTGCCGATATTTGGCATTTTCATGAGAACTACCAGGGTTGCAGCTGGGACCTGGCTCTGGCGCTCCACCACTGAAATCATTAGTCTGTATTGTTTTAGAAAAACTGTCACATGACAATAAACAAAAATGTATCAGTACTTGTATCTGTGAGTACTTGGGCAAGTATCAGTACTTGTGAAAATGGTATCGGTGCATTCCGAATATATATGTTTATAAAAACAAAATCATACACTAAGGCAGAGATGTACAAATCCCCGGAGCTCCGTGTGCTCCTTACAAATGACAGCTGCCTCCTAACTTTTACATTTTTCTCTAGTCTAGTCTTGGAGCTCAAAAAGTATCTGTACTTGTACCGAGTACGGTACTTGTTATCGGTGCATCCCTACTTCCCAGTCTATAACTGGGTTTCTTGTCCCCTTTCTGGCTTGTCTGTTCAATATGTTTGCTTTGCTTCATATTTGCGTAATTTGCTTATTTTGTAAGCTCTTACTATTTCTGCTTCATGCACTCTCTCATACATAGAAGATGCACCACCCCACTGTCATTTGCTCTACAATACATGGGGAAAAACTGAGGTCAGTCAGCAGCCACTGCACAACTGCCAGCAGGAAGTCCATAAACATTGCCTATGGTGTTCTTCATGATTAAAATACTACATTTGAAATGACTAGAATGGTGAAATTCAGGCCAATGCACTATGCTTTTTCTAAACACTGCAATGCATAGGTGTGAATAAATCACACTGAAAACAATGGCTTTCCACTTGTCCATGAATTTTGTTGTGTTGGAAATTTCAGCAAAAAACACATGACTGCTTATCCAGTGGGAACCACTTCTTATAGTTATGGTCATACATTAAACCAAAATAAAGTAAATTATTCAAGGACTTTCACAATGCATTGCAGTAGTGCATGCATGATACTACACCATGCAAACATAAAAAAACATGTGCTTGCTTCAAATTTGAAGCCGCCACTAAACAGGACAGTTAAAAAGTGATTGGTTTCTGTGAAAAGAACATTTTCATAATGGACACCAACAGTCATTAATTTGTTGTAATTCCCGCGATGCCAGCTAAAGGCACACAAAGCCATGTGCAGTAATGCTGAAAACTATGAACTACAACGTTCAGTTACATCTCATGCTGAACGTTACTTGAAGTATAGACAAAGCGCGATGCAACCTTTTCTTCAACTCCACTCGGGTGACCCTCTAATGAGTTCCAAGACCTGGCTTTATCCCAAAAGGTCCCCAGAAATCTGAACATACAAACACCAAGTTCAGCAACAGTTTAGAATAATAGTGTTGTGCTCCTGTGGGGTTTCTCAAACATTGCCAAACTCAGCAGCATGTTGAGATTAATGGGAAGAACCCTTCAAGCCAACATTCAAAGATTACAGACTTAGAAAGATAATATTCTGTGTGAAACCAATCATTCCGAGATAAACAATGTACACCACTAAGAATAAAGTCAATCCATATTTAAAGTAGAACGCAAGCCAAAACACTCCCCCCCCCCCCCCCCTTTTCTTTTTTTGTTACATGGGGAAAGCACAAGCAGTTTTTAGTAGAAGTGGAGGATTGGTATCACTGTCTATACAAGGGACATGTCCCCTAAACAAAAACAAAAAGTGGCTGTGTCTGCGGTGAAGAGATTTCTGTTCTAAGTAGAGCGGAGAAAGGTTGAAGGCTCGATAAGGTTTTACTAATGTCTATTTCTGCCTGAGAGACCCTGTCGCTTAATGTCCCTGCGATAGTGGATCACTAGGTCAGGATATTTAACCAACAGGGATGCAGAGAGCAGTCAAAACATTCCAATCTCCAACCTTTCACCATCTTATCAATAACTAAAATCACATTAAAAAAATAGGGATGCACAGATACCAGTGCCGATACCTGGCAATTTGTTGTACAACAACCCAGCATGAGAACTACTATGGTTGCAGCTGGGACCTGGCTCTGGCATTCCACCACTGTCCTGAAATCATTAGTCTGTATTGTGTCGCATGACAAACAAAAATGTATCAGTACTTGTATCTGTGAGAAAAAGTATTGGTACTTGTACTTGGTCTGGAAAAAATGGGATCGGTGCTTCTTTAATTTTATACATATAGATCTCAAACATCAAAACAGGTATGCACAAATCCCAGGAGCCCCGCACCCAAAGCTACTTAAAAATGACCGCTGCCTCCTACCTTTTAAGAATTTATCTAGTCTATTAGCTGCAAAAGTATCTGTACTTGTACCAAGTACTGTGCATACCTATTAAAAAGTCCTCAAACCTTGCACATAAAGTACCAAAAATTGATGGTGAATGGAAATATTACTAGAAAAACTTTCCTTACAATGTGTACCAAACAAGAATTCTTATATATGGTTAAATAACCCATATTATCAAATTACTGTATCTCTGCAGTAGAAAAAGTCGCAAAGGGCTTATCTGTTATTTTATAAGTACAAACAGAATCATGTCAACAATTGTGTTCCAACAATTCCATGCACATCATTCCACATTCCCGACGCATACATTTATCACCATTTATTTGTCTCCATTGCGTGTTCATCTATCATTTCCAGAATAAATTCTTTAGGTCGTATGCATGTGTGTGATCAACACACAACACAAGGGCCTATGGAATTTCAGATAGACTAATGTGACATAAGTGTGAGACATTAGCTGCAGAGAAAAGTAATTCTAGAGAATGCTTTACATTATAATCTATCGTAACCACTACAGGATCAGCTAATGGTGCTTGCACCCAGATAGCTTAGGAACTCTGAGCATTCCCAGCTCAGCAGGATGCCAGTCTGCGGAATATCATTTCCTGTCATACAACACACAGCGTGAAAGGAGGTCTGCAGCCTTTTGGGTTTAATGGAACCTTGCGTGATTATGAGTCTACATAAAAAAGAAGTTGTGCCGAGTTAACCATGAAGAAGGGATCACTACATGAGGTGGTTTCAATCTTATAGGCTCCCTGCTCAGACAACTATAAGACCACACAAGAATGTGCATAGCAAGCACATAGAAAGCTTAATACTCAGCAAGACTCAAGGAAATTTAGAAGATCATATTCCAACAGTAAACATCGTGTCTACTCACACTGCTTTTCATATGAACAGTAACATTTGGTTTTTGAGGTGTAGCCTTCAATGTAATGTACAGTACAGCAATACAAAAAAGTATCATTCGTCTAGCAAATTTGTTTTTATTTTTTATAAATAGGATAACAGAGTGGTAACAAGACATTGTACTGAGAACTCAGAAAAAACTTCTCAGGAGAGTATGAAATCTTTATATTAGAAGAAAAATATCATGCCTTTCCCATCATTTCCTACCCCTTTACACCATTTCTGAACTATGCATTCCAAACAAACCTTTATGCTGTAAAAAAATAAAAACTGGACACTTGACTAATAACCCTACAGGCGATTCCTTATGTGGGACGTACATGGTAAAACAAATGGCTTTTTCATATCTTCCAATCAAGTGGCTGAAGTATCAGAACCTGTTAAACGCCTGGGACCAATATGGAAGCACCAACATGGAAGGAGTGCAGAGCTGGAGGAGATCCCTTTGGCAGGCGAGTCTGTCATAATTTGCTAATATGATGTGCATACTAATATCTTATGGCTAAAAGCTCCTGCACCCCACCTTTTCTTCCACTTTAAAGCTGAAATCTGTTAAAATGAACAGATATAACCTTCAAGTGAAATTCCCCTGGTTGTGCAAGAGTTAAAAGCTTCATTTTTCTAAAAGGACATTGAAAGCAGTTTTACTTCGCTTATCCCTCGCTCACATAGCAGCCTGCTCTCTTCTCCTCTCTCCAATGCTCCAATTTGTGGATCGTGTATGTGCAAAGAGCATCTTTGGTGCTATATTTAGTCAGAGGTTTACTATAAAGTTTGTTTAGTATTAGTTTCCAATTCTAGGTGACTGGGCACCAAGCGGAGTTGTTCATTTAAAAAAAATAAAAGAGAATGCTCATACCAATGACTGATAAATTGACACATACAACTATAACATCTGGTTGGTATACTGGCTGTATATTGATCCGTGACTGACAGCTGGCTCTGCCTATCTAGAGGCAGAGCCAGCTGTACCCTCCCCCGTCCGTTCCGCCAGTGAGCGCTGGCGGATCGGGGAGGGGGAAATCCAGCCCCTCCCCTGTCACGGCAGAGAGCCGTGATAGGATCGAGAGGTGAGCGAACGCCGGTATGCGTTCGCTCACCGAAAGTTAGGAAAAGCCCTAACCCCATAGTTCTCCTTTAAACAAAAACCTTCACAACAGGATTGCTAAGTATTAGTTTCATGAATCTGCAATTTGCAGATTGAAAATTACTTCTGAAGTTAAATTAACATGTTCAAACTTTTTTGAGATGATAGATTATGATTTCAAAAAAGAGTCAAACATATGTAGGAGGTAATATTTAGGACAGGGAAAAATGGACACAAAGAAACAGGGCATAGAACCTACCAGCATTTAAATGTGACTAAAGCCACTTCAGAGGGTATGCTTTGTGACAACGAGAACAATGAAGTATTAAGTGTCCTCAAGGGGCTCATACTTGGATATGTGTTGTCCCATACACACTGTTCTTAAACACCACCTGTACTAATCAGGGTGTC